ATTCTTATACACTACAATGTTGAATACTTACCTATGTATTTTACTGTGTAGGGGAAGTACAATTAGGATATAGGGATCACTCCCCTTGTGAGGGCTCATTTCAAGAGGATTGCTTCAAAACGCATGAGAGGAATTGTAACTCAGTCAAAGAAAAAGGGTGTGAGGCTACGTTGTGATGACTAATGTGGGTCCACTAGGACACACCAGCGGCTCAGGTCAGAAGCACTACGGCTTCCAACTCCCGCAACTCTGACCGTGGCGGACTTGGAATCTACAAGCACGTTTCACTAACAGATCGGTAATCAATTTGAATATTGTATTGTATTGAAAAATTAACGGAGTTTGGTCATTGACTAACAGATCGACTGAAAACATTTTCAGTAGAAACTACCATTCTCCTTAAACAATTGTTTCAATTGTTTCTAGTAAATAATTAAATTTTCAATTATTTTCATTAATTTTAATTACATGATACTCAATTTGGCTCACTCTTAATGATTCAACAACCATATTTAAATCTCAACCTACCTTTCTTTTTTTGGTCGAAATACTTGATTTTATAACTTAAACCAGTTGTGAACCGGTGATAATTGGTACATTGGTTATTACATCTCTAGAGATCCGATCAGCTTCTATATTCATGGATTTGTTCACATACACAAAAGAAACCTCTAGAGATTTGGCAATTTCGTTGATGTTTTGGATGATTCCGTAGATCTCTAGGTATAATTTGTTTGTCTTGATTAGATTGATTAGTTGTTGTGAGTCTAAAGCCATGGTGAAGGATTTGAGGTTCAGTCTCGAGGCATGTGTTAACGCCTCTCTCATCGCCATAGCCTCTGTGTTCAGAGTGATCTGACCCTGCTTTCCGACTTAGAGCCCTGTGTAACCTATCGATCCCTCTGGTCCTTGATGATCCAACCCAAGCCGGCAAGTCTCAGGTCCGACCGCGAGGATGCATCCGAGTAGTATCGGAAGCCCGATGAGTTGCCAAGAGCTTCCAAGGTACTTTTCTCAGGCCTTTTGATATGGGCTTGAGCCGATATCCATTCATTTGCATCGTGGATTGCCTTTGTTACCGTTTCCCTTGCTGAAAAATATCTGTTTTGGAATAGTTTTTGATCTCGAGCTAACCATAGTGTCCATGCAATCTAGGGGAAGAGAGCTCTGTCACTAACCCCTGTTGGTGGTAGGCAAATCATCTGGTGTAGTCCTGTATGAAAGGTTTGAATTGATTCGGTGGAGATCGCAACCCTTAAAGGGGGCTAAGCTCCAGACTTCTTTTGCCAAAGGGCAACACTACAAGAAAACATTTTGTTTGTGACTACTTTTTGTGACTTTTTTGTAGTAACTAAATTTGCGAATGGTTTGTGACTAATAAGCGACTACGAAAATATGAGACGCAAAATAGTCACATATTTGCGACTAAAAGATTTAGTCGTTAAGACTGATTTGTGACCACATAATAGTCAATAAATATAGTCGCAAAGAAGTCACCAATTTGCGACTGATTTGTGACTCCTTGAGTTGAGGACGTCTCGAAAGAGTCGCAAATTCGTCATAACGAATCATGCTGGCAGCTTTGTCGGGTAGCATGTCGGCTAAATATTATTGTTGGTGAATCCGTGAATAATAAGGCTGGTTGGTATTGTAATTAATACTTGTGAAAAATTATTGTGTAAAGTTTCGACAACCTTTGTTTGTAAAAAAATGCAAAATTGTCTGAAATACAGATTATACACAACAGTGTTTGAACTGAATAGTGTTTGTAGCTAGTTAATGAATTATAGTTTTATTTTGTGTTACTTCGGCCAATTTCCCCTTATTTAAAAAAAAAA